AAAAAAAAAAAAAAAAAAAAAAAAAGTGATATGGCGCATGCAAAATACAATACAACTGCGTTCCTATTTCATGAAAAGCTTGATAGGGCCTGGAAGGGTTCAAAGGGGATAAAATAAGGAATAAAGGGGTTTAGAGAGGGGATGCTTAACTCATTCTATAATTTTTTATCTAAATATTATTTTCTTGTTCTGTTTTATTTTTTATCTTCATATATGTTGAGTAACCAAAGATGGCCCTAAGCCAAAAGTTGTTTATATCATTGATATGAACAACATATTTTTTTTATAGATTACAAAAAAAACAAAAATCGGTAAAAAAAAAATATTTTGCGCATGGCCGGATTTTCCATATCCGGAATTAATCCGGAAATTTCATCCGGATTAAAATTTTCGGATAAAATCAGTTTGCCGGATATCCGAATTTGCTACTTAGCAAAAAAACAATAAAGAAAATTCATATTTTAGTGTCTTTTATGTTGTGTATTTGAGACATGTAAGTTTGGCAGATAACCTTTCCTCAAAGTTGTCTAAGGTTGCTGCTATAACAACAGAAAATTTTTTCAAAATTAAATAATTATTCTAGAGTAAAATCACATTTTAAATTTCAAATTTTCATTCCATCGTAAAAAAGGTGATTCCAATTTTAAAATTTTTCGTTTTACTTGAAAACTTTCCTTCCAAGAATGGGGTATCCCTTCTTATTTGAACTTTATGTTAAAGATGGAATGAAAGTCTGCATGAATTCATGAAATATTTTAATTGGATTGTCATTCTAAGTAAGGATTTTCAGTCATAAATAGGCTAATTCAATCTAAATTAGAAGATATTTGTTGTTGTAGAATGAAATTCTAATTAAAATATGTCACAAACTCCTCCAGACTTTCATTCCATCTTGAACAAATAGATGTAGTTAGAATGGAAGGCTCGTATTTAAAAGGAAACTTATCAAATTGAGTTGGAAATTTTAGAATTGGACGAACATTGGAATGATAATTTATAAATACGAAGGATTTTTTTTTTATGGAATGTTTTTTCAACTTTTATTTCTCGTGGGAATTTTTCTGTTGAAGGGGCTGGCCATAACCACAGACAATTAGAGACATCAAGTCTTTCATTCGTCTGACATATTATTATAGAAAGTTTATCTGAAACTATTTTACATTGGTCATTCCCTTGACTAACCTGTAGGCTAAGAATAATCCTTTCAATTTTATTCCTAAATGCTAGTTGGCTAACTAGATTTTTTCTATGAATCCCCCAAAGAGGCTGCCACGCAGGGCCGAGGGCACAACCCGGAAACCTCGAACCGGTCTCTGTAGCAGTCACTCTAGGGGGGGTGCGGGGGTAGGGGTGGCTGGTTGGGGTTGCGCAACCCGAACCCAACCCCATAGTACACACACAAAAAAAAGAATTACTGACTGGGGAAGCTGTTGTTCGTGAAAACAAATTTCAAAAAAAAAAAACCCTTCATTAATTGATTCATTGATTGATTCATTGTTGATTGACTGGGATTTGGTCGATTGATTGACTGGTTAAATGATTGATTGATTGGTTGATTGATTGATTGATTGATTTTGGGATGGGTTGATTGATTGATTGTTGCGCCCCCCCTCCAACGCATATACACTCACGCAGTTTTGGCTTTCCATGTTTTTTATTTTTTGATTGATTGATTGATTGGTTAATTGATTGATTGATTGATTGATTGGTGAGTAGGAGGGGAATCGACTCCTCCCCCCCCCCCCCCCCCCCGCTCCCCCCCATACACACACACGTGTGCTTTTTATTTTCAATTGATTAATTGATTGTTCAGAGGGAGGGGATCCCCCGCCCCCCCCCTTGCACATACACATACACACACACATACACACACACACACACATACGCACGCACACACAAACACACAAACACACAAACACACAAACACACAAACACACGCACACACACACACACACACACATTCACACATACATGACAAAACACACGTTCGCACATTTTTTTCTTTTCACTGTTTTTTTTTTTTTTTTTTTTTTTTTTTCCCTTCAACTAATTGATTGACTTATTGACTAATTAATTGATTGATTTGTGGATGAGCGGTCCCCCCCCCCCCCTTCCCGCACATGCACGCACACATACACAAACAACATTATTAAAAAAAAAAGCGGTTTGGAAAAAAAACATGGGGTTCTACGGTCTGAGAAACCCCATATTCCCATTTTTTTTTCCTCCCATTTTTTCAGCGAGAAAAAATCCCTGACGTCCTGCGTCCGAGGCTCATCCTTGACCATGAGTTTCTGCGGAGGAGATCTCGGTCACCGGCCGGGTTCGACCCTACGGCTCTCTCTCTCTCTCTCTGTGTGTCGCACCACACGTGGCTCCGAGGCAGCACTCACCTGGGCGGCTCAACCCAGCAGCGACTATGGAACCGTGGGAGCGCGAACGGGTGTGCCTGCTCCAGCAATGCGAAGGCAGGTAATCCGTCCCGCCCTCGGCCTCGGCCGACAAACACCCGGGATTTTTTTATTTATTTATTTATTTATTTATTTTTTTTTACAGGTACCGGGAATATGACGAGTACCAAAAAAAAAAAAAAAAAGAAAGAAAAACAGAAAAAAATATTCCGAGTACGACAAAAGAAAGAATGTGGGACGGCCCGGTACCCGTACCTGGGAACGAACGGGCGCTGAACGTGACACAAGTGCCTATTACAAGCTCGCACCGTGACTACACTGTATGCACGAGTCACAACCGCCTTTTTAAACTCAGTCCATACAAAGTTTCTGCTGCATGTTTTTTTTGCGACTTACGAACTCTGATGTGACATGAACGTACTTCCCTGAAAAACCAAAAAAATAAATAAATAAAAATGTTTTCTGTACGTTCGCGGATTGTCCGACAGTGGGCCTCGCTCCAGTACGCACCGAACGTGCAAAATGAGAATGAATGTTCCTTTAGAACATGGAAAGAAACATCGCCACGTTTTTTGTCTTTTTCGCATCTGGAGAATAAATGGAGCGTTGCCCGGTATCTGCATTAGAACTGTGCTAATTTCCTCACAATGTAGTTGGGTCCTCTCAGACACGTGATTACTTGAGCCTCACGTACTGGATCTGATACGTTTTGAGCTCTCTGTGTTCTTTGTTTTCTTCATCATAATCATTGGCAATGCCATGATGGTGATCGTTATCATCATTATGATGATGAGGAGGAGGAGGAGGATGACGTGGTGCCTCTCTTTTCATTGTTCGCGGGCATTGTGGGGGTTAAGTGGGTTATGCTACTTGGGCTCGGAGTGGAACCCAGATTCGAGCTCATGGCCTGTTGACTAACAGGTCTCTCTATCTGTCATGCTATGCGGCTGTCCTGTGGGAAAGCCCCTTCTTAATCCAATCCCTCACACAATCCCACCGCCAAAAGATGCGTCACATCACGGGCGCTTCGCCGCTTGGGCGAAGCATCTTCCTAATGTTCCACCAACTTGATGGGAGCATGGCGGAAAGAGCAGAGAACAGCAGAGCTGCTAAATTCGTGCTATCGCTTTTCTCTCATTTGGCAGCGCAGTTCTGCTGTACTCTGCTCTTCCTCCTATGTTCCCTTCTCTGGTATTCGTGCTCTTCTCTCCCCTTCTGTGCCGTTCTCATACACAAGTCGACAAAAAAAAGCATGACTTTCCAGGTTGAAGCTCCTTATCCATCAAAAAGAAAGAGAGAGAGAGAGAGAGAGAGAGAGAGAGAGAGAGAGAGAGAGAGAGAGAGAGAGAGAGAGAGAGAGAGTGGTAGTAATTCCTTATCCATCAGTCAAATGCAACCCGGCCAGAGTCGCCAGACTGTCACGATTGAACCTCCTGATGAGTCGGTGAAAGTCCGACAAAAAGCTGTGGCAAAGTCATGCTCTTTTTTAATGTGGAGTTATGTATAGCGAATATGGGAACACACACACATACACACAGAGTGAATATGACAACACACACACACACACACACACACACAAACACACACACAAACACACACACACGCGCGCGCGCGCGTGATTTGTTGTGGAATACGAACATCATAAAAAGATACAGAAACGCTATTCTGGACAGCAGGAACATGGCAAATAACCACTTTCAGTCTGGCAACCTGCTGTGAAAATTGTACTCGAACACCTCTCCCTCGTCCTGGCGAGATTCCTCCTACCTCCACAATTAGACAGCCCATTGGAAAAGTAACCGACCACATCCAATCAAAATGAAATCTCGCAAAGCAAGTATGTGTCTGTCTTTGTAGCACGCACACACACACACACGCACAGACAGACACGGTCATGCACAGAGCGAGCGATCGAGAGAGAGAGAGAGAGAGAGAGAGAGAGAGAGAGAGAGAGAGAGAGAGAGAGAGAGAGAGAGAGAGAGAATTGGCGCCACCTGTTCGATCTTTCTTTCGAAACGATCATCGTTAAGCTTCTACAGAGAGACAGACTTTAATATAACCGCTTTACCAGAGCCCCAAATCACGTGTATCATAACTTCTGTGTGATGCGCCTGCTCCTACAAGACCCACACAACTCCCAGTCCTGAACTGAATCAAGATCGAAGTACGTGTATGACCTTACGACTCGTACGGAGCTACGCGTCCCACTTTGCGGTCATCAAAGGAGGGCTCCGCCAGTGGACTCCTTCGCGACACTCAGGAGCTCGCGACGCGCCCCCACTAACTCCTAATCGGACGGCCTCTCCAACTGCCGCCGACCAGTCTCTCGGACCCTAGACTCACCTTTCCCACTACCAGTCGCCCCCCAACGGCCCCTTCCCTCCCCTCCTAGTTCGCCGCCTCCCAGACTAGTAGCTCATGTCCGGCGCCATGGCTTAGCACTTCTCCCAGACGAGATTCCAGACTTGGCGGAAGGACAAATCCTGAGAGTCGATTCCAACAATTCCGTTTCCCTTGGCCGGACACCCGGGGCCAGGGGTCACCCGGGCTTCCGAGGCGAGAATGAGGTCCCTGGTCACGCCGCACCTGCTGTAAACCAGGGTGAGGAACTCGTCCGTGACTTCGAAGTTCTTCTCGACCACTCCTGTGAACTTGCGCACGAAGCGAGCCGTCCCTGGAAACCCGGAGAAGTAGTACCACGTCTGAATGGTCGCCACGGCGCCCGCATCGAGCTTCACGTACCCGCGCATTGTGACCGTCCCCACCGACACGATAAACCCTTTCGGATACCTCAGCTTGACCGTCACCACGCAGCTCCGTTTCCGGTCCGCCAGCAATTTGTCCGTCGTGGCGTAGTATCTGCTGTACATGACCGTCAGCGCCTTCCCGTCGTTCGAGATGTCGCCGACAGCAGTCCCCGAAGGACAGCCGCTGCCCGCATAGCTGATCGAATCAATCTTCACCGTTCCGGGCGGCGGACAAGTGGTAGCGGCTCCTCGGGCGGCCAGCTGGAGGAGCAGCGGCAGTAGCAGCAGCAGMATCGCCATTGCCGCAGTCGGACAGACAGATTGCTGTAGTGGTGCTCTCCTCACCGACCTCACGACCACCTTCACCTCCCTCGTCTTCGCGCGTCTTCCGAGTTTCGTTCGACAGCGGAGGGTCCTCCCGTCTTCCGCGTTGCCTTTTTGGTGATGACAGAATTGAGGTAACCGGATGTATCTATAGGTAGTTTCTGTAAACTTGCTCGCTATTTCGTTTCGAATGGACTCCGTTTTCCTCCAACAGAAGGCACCCTGATAAGGGATGCATACAAGCTATCTTTCCGGTCCTGTGCAGCCGAAATTAAGGTGCGTTGTGTTCGGGGGACCACGGTAGAAGCCGGAGGCCATTGGAAATCAGCCTGAAGTGGTTGCTGACCTTCTTTAGCTCTTGGAAACAGAGGCGTTTACGACAACCAAAGCTTGGAAAAGGCTGTGGCACGTCGTGCACTCTGAGCAGAGTGTGGCTGTCGCCGGGCGAGGCCCAAGTTTCGTGGAGGCGGCCGTAAGCAAAGGTATCTAAACAAAGGTGTTGCGAACATTCAAGCGTGGGCCTCGCCAGATGTCTAAACGGGCGTGCTTACGAGGACCTACCTCATTAGGATCGGAAGGCTAGTAGAAACGAGGGGTAACTACAAGGGAGTCACGAAAACGAGCTATAATTGAACTGTGGGGCAAGATACAGTTGGCAATTGCACTCCGGGCACCCTACCTGGCCAAAACACTGGGTTGTTTATATTGGCCGAGCTGCAATTGCAAACGGTGTATCTTGGCCCATAGTGCAGTTACAACTCGTTTTTGCGACCCCCGCGTAGTTTCCCCTAGAAGGGGTACAATTAATTCGCGGCTCCGCTGCACAATTCCCGGCCGCCAATATGTTTTGCTGTGGAACTACGGGGACCGGCTATTTTCGTTTTTTTTTTTTTTTTTTTTTTTTTTTTTTTTTTCAGACACACGGGTCTACTGACACAGCTATTGGTAGTCCTGACAGTCCCTTATGCTCCGTAAGACCACTTCTCCCTACCCATCCTCTCCGCAATTCTCCTAGAGCACCCCTATCCTACGATCCTTCCTCAGTGTCGAGTACTCAGGACTATCACCATGCTATTTCAGAGGGCGACTTGGACCAGACAGTAGTTCTAGGCACCGGGGCTAGGCAGGGCCAAGCACGAAGCCTTGAAAGCCCCACCCAGCCCTAGTTGAGGCACAGTCAAGCAAGCTACGTTACTTGGGTACATCGGGCGCCAGGCTCAAGCATTATGTCTACTTCACCTACCAATCCCCATTCTGGCATGTTATGTTATCTATGTATCCTTACTCTGGCATTTCATTCCTTTCTACAGATGTCAGATACCGAGGGGGGACAGGGCCAAGCGCGAAGCCTTGAAAGCCCCAGCCACTCCCAGTCATGTGTATGTGTTATCTGTGTGATATCTATGTATACTCACCCCAATTGTGTATGTGTATATTTCCTTTCTAACGAGGTCAGATACCGAGGCGGGACAAGGCCAAGCGCGAAGCCTTGAAAGCCCCAGCCAGCCCCAGTCATGTGTATGTGTTATCTGTGTCTAGTGTGGTTGTCCATGGTTTTAGATACCAAGGCCGGGCAAGGACAAGCGCGAAGCCTTGAGAACCCTTGCCCAACCCCAGTCGTGAATGTGTATATTTCCTTTCTACAGATGTCAGATACTGAGGCGGGACAAGGTTAAGCGCGAAGCCTTGAAAGCCCCAACCAGCCCCAGTCATGAGTATGTGCTATCTGTGTGTAGTGTGGACCCCCCACCAAGTCCCAGATGAATTCCGTATACATAGGGTTCTACTGTCGTGTGAATGGCGGTCCTATCCATGCAAGGACCCCCCCAAAGTCTCTAGCCAGACTCTAACCCATGCCCTTCATTATGCCCTACCATATGCGCTATGTCGTGAATTGATGCCAATGTATGATATGCCAGAACAGGGAAGAATATCAGAACCAACAATAACCACATCAAGCAGCCCACGCATAGTCAAGACCCAGCATACAACAACCTGGACTAGGTCCCCTTGGGTGGTGCGCAGGCAGTGTCTGTATAAGCTTACTGTGCGTCATCCCAAGGGTGTGTGTGTCCAGCCGTGTGTCACTCTAACGCCCTGCCAGTGTCCATGCACGAGGCTGCAATTGAGTTTTGAACCCGCAACCTCATACCACAATGCGCATTTCCAACAGGTGCTCTAACCACTGAGCTACATTAACTGGACACATTTTCGTGATCATGTTCTCTGCAGCAGCAATACGTCTTTTCGCACATGCCTCGCTGCCTTCTGGTACTCGCACGAGCAGTTTCACCTCGTAGGAATCCCAACATTCACAGCTAAGCCAAAAAACTTCTCGTATAAAAAAAAAAAAAAAAAAAAAAAAAAAAAAAAGGTTCTCTCGTGTGAGGAAAGCCCCTGACACTGCAGAGCGCAGTTTCAGAAGAAGGGTTGGATGATCTGGTTTGAACTGCGTTTTAGCAGTTTAGAGTCTTTAGACAGGCCCCAAGTTTCAGTCGCACTTCAAACTCGGGCTTACCTTTTCTAGCGGTTGGAAAGAAAAAAGAAAAAAAACAGCCCCATGGTTGGGCCATGGCGGAGATGTCTCGGCCACACCACCCCAGACTGGCCACGACCGAGATGTCTCTGCCACACCCCAGACTGGCCACGGCCCAGATGTAGCATGGCGGGGCCGCCCTAACCTGGTTCTGTGTTTCAACAGCGCAGGGATGGGGGTTAAAGAAGAAAAAGGAAAGAAAAAGAGAAAAGAGAAAAGGAAAGAAAAAGAGAAAAGAGAAAAGGAAAGAAAAAGAGAAAAGAGAAAAGAAAAAAGAAAAGAAACGAGGAACTATGAATCCACGTAGGTGGAAGTTACACCAGTGTAACTCTTACACCAGTGTAACTCTTACACCAGTGTAACTTCCACCTACGTGGATTCACAGTTCCTCACCTACGTGGACTCATAGTTCCTCGTTTCCTTTCTTTTTTCTTTTCTGTTTTTCTTTCACCAGTGATCCAGCGTCCTAGCTCAGTTGGCAAGGCACACAAGTGGCATTCAGAAGGTCTTGGGTTCAATCCCCATTGGCCTCATGCACCTTCCTGGGCAAGCTTGGCGCCCGCCACCTAGAGATATGCCGTTGGTCCCCCCGAGTGGCATTGAGCAGAGACTGCTGATGTTCATAGGGGAGGGGACTGGAGGGGAGGCACAGTGACTGGCCCATCGAAGAAGTTCAGTCCTGATGCTACCGGCTGACCCCTGGCCAGTATCTCCCACCTGCTGTGGCAGGTATCGCACCTGCTGGTGGATGCAGCTCCCGCATGTTCCCTCGTTGGAGGCTTGAGCACGGATGTGGCTGCTACGTGGTTCCCCTTAATACTATAATGACAATAAAAAAGGCCTGAAAGGCTGTCCTGTCCAGATTTGACAGGTAATTGAATTGGTTGGGCTTCAAAGAATCAGCCTTTCAAAAAAAAAAAAAAAGAAGAAGAAGAAGAAGTTACACCGGTGCTTTGAGGAATGTATCTGGCCAGGATGTGAGGACCCTGAGACATGTCGTTTTCTTTGTTTTCTTTTTGTTGCGAGGTCCTTGTAAAGCCCTGCCAGCCAGGCAGGGCAGATTCCACGCGAGTCAGCTGCCTCGCTTCATTCAGTTCCAGACAAACACTGTAGCATCCTGTATAGGACCGCAATCACAGCATAAGAGATGTTTTTTTTTTTATCTGCCGTTCGTGGATAGACGAGGGCCCGGACTGAACTGCGCAGCCTAAGTTTCAACTGCAATTGAAACTCGGGCCCTGACTAAACTGCTAAAACGCAGTTTCAAATGCAATTACAAACTGCCTTCGTGACTACGCCGTAGTTACACCAAAAAAGAAAAAGGTCCGTTTTGAAGGGTCCAGCCCTGCCGCCCCAAGTGACCTCCCGAGGCACCCTTGGGATTTTTGTTGATTTGGCGGGGATGCACATCCATTTCAAGGGCGGACACTTGGCTGCGGGGATGTGAAAACAATTACCGATTGCAAGGGTACGTCATTAGGGGGGGGGTAGAACGACGCTTCCTTGAAAAACAGCAAATTCCAAGTGGTGTAGAACAAGGCCCAAAACCGAAATTCGAATTACGGCCAGTTGTCGTTGATCTTCCTTCCGTGCACGTCCGTTAAAATTGGAGCCATGCAGAGAGGATGAGGACGGCCCATGCGCAAGGGTGAAACACATGAATTGAGAGGAATTTCACCCGTCATTATTCCTCTCTTCTCCCCAATTAAAAGAGCTAAATAGGGCTGGGAGACGAAAACAGAGACATTGCTTAGTAGGGGATCGCTCTACGTTTTGTTACTGGGAATTATGGATTGTTCCTTTGTTGAGCCAGTTCGGGGAAGATTGCAGACTTGAGCGCGGTTTCCGGCACAAGCCTAAGCTGGGTGAGAGCCCCAGATAACTCCAGGTTGAGATGTTCAGGAATTCCCGGCCATAAAATGCAACATCCTTTTTTTTTCTTGAAAGAAAAAAGAAAGGGGTAACTTCAGTAGAGTCACAAACACAAGTTATAATTGCACTATGGGCCAAGATACAGTTTGCAATTGCACTTATGGCACCCCACCTCGCCAGAAAGCTGGGTTGTATACATTGCCCAAACTGCAAGTCGAAACTGTATCTTGGCCCATAGTGCAATTATAACTCATTTTTATGACTCCCGCATAGTTTCCCCAAAAAGAAAAAGAGCTAATTATAATACTAAAAGAACAGGAAGTTCTACAGAGTCTTCTGTCAAGAAGTAGAAATGCAGAAAATCCTTCCCGGCCCTTTTTTCTTTGTTTACATCTTTTGTGGCTGAGATCGAACAATTTCGCACACTCGCGCAGAATAGGGGTAGGGATTTATTTTCTCCCACCCGAAATTATTGAATCCATCGGATGCCATCAGCATCCCAACTCCGCACCTTGCTGAACCTGGTCATCAACAGCTGTGTGTGTGTGTGTGTGTGTGTGTGTGTCTGTGTGTGTGTGTGTGTGTGTGTGTGTGTGTGTGTGTGGTACCATGAAGTCTCATGCCCTGGCTGAATGCGGAACTTCCAGGAACAAGAGAGGACGAAGGAAACGGAGCCAATGACCAACCGGCACCGGGCTCAACGAGCTCGGCAGATATTCTTTTCTTTTTTTTCTTTTTTGAAAACTCCTATTGCAAATCACAATATGGGAGAGGTAGGGGAGGACAGAGATTCTTTCTCTTCTCTCCTCCTTCGTTTTGTACGGCTTCGCTCCACCACTCACAAAATGTGAAACTTCATAACAAATATTCGTCCTTTTTTTGTACCATTTCTTCTTTTTTTTCCCCGTATCGACCACGGATCAGATATCAACTGATCACATATTATCAGATATTAAAACGAGAATGAGTATTCTACTAGAAGATGGAAAGATATAACCCCATAATTATTGTCTTTTTTCAAGTTTTTTGCATCTTGCGGGGGCCATCTCCCAATAGCAACATTGAGTTTCCTCCAAGGGTCCCCCGCGAAAGTTCATTATTCTTTTTTTTTTCCTTTTGTTTTCCTAAAATAGGCTATATTCTTCTCTTTGATTTCACCTTTCACCTCCTACCTATCACTATGTCTATACAGGGGACCACTGCAAGCATAACTGTTTCTCACAATCAAGAAGACACAAATGTAAAAAAAAAAAAGAAATTGCCGCCCGCCCCGATCGGCCGTGGTCAGGGAGTAGGCTGCGCCACAAATTTTCTGGCCTGCCCTGGGATTTAGAAATGCACAATCTTTTTTTTTTTTTTTTTTTTTTTTTTTGTGCAATCTAGCTGTTACGAGAGAGAGAGAGAGAAAGAGAGAGAGAGAGAGAGAGAGAGAGAGAGA